GAACAAACATAGGGAGTTCCTCCTGATTTACATCAGTGTAAGTGAGAGGAAAATCAGGCCAATGATGCGGGGTTAACAGGCTTGGACTGGATATTTTATCCAAAGTACTCTGATCAAGTGCTGTTAGACTTCAGCCGCATTTCTTGGTCTGCCCACGTGAAAGCAGAAGACAATATGCTCTCTTGCCCGGAAAATGGGCTTTTTAAACTTGCAGGTTAAAGTCTCAGCCTGCTATAGGGCAATATTTTGGAATGGTGCTTAAATATAATAATTGGCATTTGAAAATAATGAGAGCCTCCCATTTCAAACAACAGCAATAAACAGAGAGAATTTTCACAGCTTCTTAATATTTTCCCCCATAAACACATATTGCTGAGGTGGAACCAATATGGATGCCCCACCCCTATCCCCCAGACTGGGGAGAAGGAAGGTTCATTATGCCATCCACTACCCCTTCTTAATAAGCACTCAGCAAGTATCTATACAAGGGGAAGGGCAGGCAGTTAGCTAGGGCTGGGAAGTGGACAGCCCAACAAGCAGCGAGGGCAGGCGAGGGGAACTGCCATCCCCACAGAGGTTCCCCAGGAAAGCTCAGCCAGCCTGGGGAGGTAATATCATTGCTCTGGTTGGGATTCCTCTTTAGTAGGTCTCGCTCAGGCAGCCACAGCCAGGGGAGGCTTTGGTAACACAGCTCCATTGGACCGGTGCTGCAAGAGAGTGGCACAGGGCTTCTTTACCTAATGCAGCTACCTGGGGACACACAGAGTTTGAGGGCAGATTCCATGAAGGGCAAAAGGAGTAAAGGAGTAAAGGAGAGGAACTCTGTGCAGAGATTTCCCTGCTGAGCATCTCCTTATTTGCTGAACCCCACCCACCCCCATTGAGTTTGGGGAGGGAGGAGAAGGATTTGTCCCCATATCATTACACCTGTCCAATTAATAAGTCCTTTCAATTAGTTGGGATTTACCTTGAAAGTTTCAGGAAATTGTTTTCCAGGCTGAAGCAGTGGTCATGGGCATGCTTCAGACCATGGAGTTTATTGTGCAACGAAGAACTTTTAGCCAGTGTGACAGGGTCGGGCCAGATGGCTACAGCAGAGTGATCCTATTGGGATCCAGGAAGTGGACGGGCACAAGCCCGCCCACTTCTAAAGGACCACACACACACACACCCCACCCCTCAGCCTAAGGGGAGGATCCACAGGACCTGAAAGCCAAGTGATTCCAGAGGACAACTAATGAAATAACAGAGACGGGAGTGCAGTCAAAAGGGTCAAACGAAGGGAACCTGATTGGGACACCGAGCAAAGAACCCCAGACAGCGCCCACTGCTCCTCGAAGGTGTCAAGGGAGCCAGTGGACACCGCCCAGAGGAACTCTGCCCGGATGCATGAATGGACGGAGGATCGGAAATGGGGCCGCTTGTGACTGTGGGGCCTGTCAGCCAATCTCCTCTTCATGGTTTTATAGATGGCTCTTTTGCCAGGGCCAGGAGGAGGTTGACCAGGAGGTCCCGTGACTTTGTGGAGAGTGATAGAAGGCAGATATATTAGCCCCAGGTTAAGCAGGTCCCTTTTCCCTGGATAAGGTAACAGGGGCAGTTCCAGAACAATCAACAAGTTGCTGAGACCAATTAAGGCAAACAGTCTAATTAGGACACATGGAGCTAATTAAGAAGATGCTAGAACCAATTAAGGCAGGCTAATCAGGGAACCTGGTTTAAAAAGGACCTCACTTCAGTCAGTGAGGGGCGCGCAAGGAGCTGAGAGTGAGAGGGCATGCTGCTGGAGGACTGAGGAATACAAATGCTATCTGGCATCAGGAGGAAGGTCCTGTGGTGAGGATACAGAAAGTGTTGGGCCATGGGGAAGTAGTCCAGGGAGTTGTAGTGGTCACACAATTGTTACATGAAACATTGTAGACAGCTGTGATCCACAGGGCCCTGGGCTGGAACCCGTAGTAGAGGGCGGGCACGGGTTCCCCCCATTCCCCCAACTCCCTACTGGATACAGGAGGAGTTGACCTGGACTGTGGGTCCCACCAGAGGGGAAGGTCCCTGGCCTGTCCCCCGACCCACTAAGTGGACCAGCAGAGACTGTGGGGATTGTTCTCCTTCCTTTTCCCCATGCTGGCCAGTGATGACGTTAGCTGAGTGAACGGCAGGTTTGAGCCACTAGCAAAAGTGGCCAAACTGAGGGCTGCCGTGAATCTCTGAGGCAAGCAAATCCACCAATAAGCACAGGACCCACCAAGGCAGAGGAGGAACTTTGTCACACCAGATACTAACTCCATCTAGTGGCAGCAACAATATTGCAATGGCTGAGAAGGCATTTCCATTTCAGGTGTCCTTTCATGCTCTTATAACTTCACAAAGAATTCATCTTTGGATAGAAATTTCTCATACTTGGTCTTAGCCCAAAGGTGGACTTTTTAAATTATAAACATATTTGTTTATTTGTTTATTGAGAGTCTGAAGTAAATACTGACAGACCAGGTGCCAACTCATGCCGGGACTCCTAGGCCTCACTGAACACTGACAAATGCATAGCTGGAAACCAGTCTGGCTCACACGTGCATTAGTATTGTCAAAATAGCTATTAGAGTTCTAAGAAAATGTTTAGACTTTATCAAACACTTGTAAATTGCTGCATGCATTAATCTCACTTATAATATCTGTATCCTATGATATAAGGTAGTATTTACGTATTTGCTTTGTAACTATAAAAAAAAATGTTTGCTCTAAAACTGTAAACCTGCCCCACCAGAAGAGAAAAATCATCAAATGTGAAATACTAGTTTACCACAAGAGGGGTCATCTCCTGCCCAACAAAAGAAGGCCTATGGGCATCAGACAAGCCATTGTGGAACATCATTGGACAAAAGACTTTGTTGCTTGCCCCCCTCCCCAAACATCCATGAAACGGAGATGTGCACAAATCCTCACCCATCAGCTTAAGCCCTGGGGGAAAGCGATAAAAATCTATGTCAAGAAAAGCTTATTATGCTGCTTGGAATGGGAGAGGGCAAAATTTCTATGCATAAGAAAGGGATCCCCAAGCTGTTTAGCCTGGGTTAGCCCTCAAGGACACAAAGAGCTTGCATATTACAGCAACATCTAATACCTGTTGATACCTAAGACTGTAACTCATTTGTGTGTATATGTTTACCTGCTTTAACCTTGTAAATAACTTATTTTTTTTCCTGGTAGATAAACCTTTAGTTAGTTTAATATAGGATTGACTACAAGCATTGTCTTTGATGAGAGATGTAAGGTACAAATGACCTGGGGAAAGTGATGGTTCTTTGGGACTAGGAATAACCTGAACATTGTGATTTTTGGTGTAAGGGACCATCTATCACAAAGGCAGGCTTGCCTGGGTGGCAAGATAGATCAGCGTGCCCAAGGGGACTGTCTGGAACTCCATGTTAAGGCTGTTATAGTGTCTGAGGAGTTCACACTTGTTACTTGGTTGGTGAAATCTAGTGATAGCCAGTTTGGGGTTTGTGTCCTGTTCCTGGACAATCTGCCCTGAGGTTGGCACGCATGCTCGTAAGCCTCTCCAGACAGCCTGACAAATATATTCAGTAACTTTTGAATTACCTGAGCATGGATAATCAGTGTTATCCACACTGTAAGAAAAATCATTCAGACACTGGTTTTTTGCACTTGGATGACACCAAGAGTCTCTCTTTAAAGCTTTGGGTATTCATAAAAAGAAAGAGAGTACTCGTGGCACCTTAGAGACCTACCAATTTATTTGAGCATAAGCTTTCGTGAGCTACAGCTCACTTCATCGGATGCATACTATGGAAAATACAGATGATATTTTTATACACATAGACCATGAAAAAATGGGTGTTTATCACTACAAAAGGTTTTCTCTCCCCCCACCCCATTCTCCTGCTGGTAATGGCTTATCTAAAGTGATCACTCTCCTTACAATGTGTATGATAATCAAGGTGGGCCATTTCCAGCACAAATCCAGGTTTTCATAGTTCATAGTTCTTCATGAGAAACACAGACTTTGCCAAGTTTGGGGGGTGAGCGGAGAAAGGTAAGGAATAAATAAACGATAAGCAAATGCAAAGCAAATCTTGTATGCAACAGGATATTATTTTCCTTAAGCAAGTGTGCACTAAGTATAATTAGAAAAACAACACACACATAAACTTAGCATACAGCAGCCACGAAGCACAGAATATGCCTCAGGATCAAGAGACACAGTATAAACAGGTCCTTTTTACCCTTCCCCAGAAGCTGTCCTTGGACAAGGCTGAGGATCTGGCCCTGGATGTTTATTTGAATAGGCTACTGCACATCCAAATGAACACCATCTGCAGCAGCTGTTAACAAACAAACACACAACAACCAGAGCTATGTTGATATCATTGCTGGCAACGAGGAACAAGCGAAATGGGCCATTTCATTGTAATTTCACCTTCAACTTGAAAACTATATCAGTTCCTCATCACCAAGGGGGAAAAAAGGGTTTACTAAATGGAAAATTATAATCTCCTTAGGGAAAGATGTTTAATTTTCAATCTCCTAAAACAGTAAAGTTTAACAAATAATTAAAAGTGGCTAAAGGTGTCTCAGAATGATACTAGTTTCGAATCTAAGCAAAATCTAGCTGTGCTGAAACAATCAGTGAAACCATACCAAAAAAAGAACAGGAGGACTTGTGGCACCTTAGAGACTAACAAATTTATTTGAGCATAAGCTTTTGTGGGCTACAGCCCACTTCATCGGATACATACCAAAAAAGAAGATACACCAAGTCTAGGGATAGTTGCAGCATCTTGTTAGTGAATGTTACATACATAGTGCTTGATCTTAGAGTTTTATACCACAAACGTAGCAGAATGCTGTCAGAACTTTTACATATTGCTAAGCATTTCCTGAAGCCAAGAAACACTTCACATTCATTGTTTGCTTCTGCTCTGAGGTTCAACTTGAATATGTGTATTTTAACATTAATAATAAATTATTTTAAAAATTACCTTTTGTTGAATCATCTTCAATTGGTTGTTTGAACAAAGTGATATCTTTAAAAGTGCACAGGAATAAAACCACTTTTTCATGTTCATTTCTTATAGGTGCTATTTGCATGTAGAACCAAACTGGGGTTCCTGGAGAAGAGAGAAAGAAACCAGGGTGTGTGGTAGAACACCAGCTTTCCACAACTCCGACATGTTTTAAATGCTGTATTGCATACATTTATCTGAAAACCATTTCTAGATAGCTGTACCTTTGCCATGTTTGTTTGGGTCTATAATATATTCACATGCAGATTAAAATGAGAAAATGCTAGCAATCCAATTAACTACCACAAGTAACCAAAGAAAGAACCCCAATAATCTCTGCCATAACACTGTTTTATTGTTCCCCTTTTAGCCCGGTCTCTGCCTATCATTCTTCACCCCCTTTGGAGTTTAGGTAGTTCTCATCCTCAAGGTAGGCAAAACTTTTTGATATTTCTAAAGTAATAAACAAGGCGACAGGAAAACCTTGAAGGTTCATGTTACACATCACAGAGAACCAAAACAAAATGGCAAAGACACCTACATTTTTCCTTTGCTGGCCACCTCTAAAAAACAAGCTTTAGATTTTTTTAAAAACATTTTTAAATGTCTCTGTAAAGTAGGATGATGCTGTCAAATGTGCCATGTCCCAGATCTGACACTCTACCACACATGAAAAAGAACATTCGCGAGATGAGCTCAGCCATCCTGCCTCCCAGTCTCCTGGGCTAATCACCAGACCATACCCAGACCCACCCCCACAGCTGGATATAGAGCACAAGAGGTCTGACTCCCAGTCTCTCTGCTCCTCTAACCAACAGACGATATACCCACCGATATATCTTCCTCTTAGTATTTGAATTCAAGGCAAAACCATTTTACAATCCTGGCACTTTGGTTAAGCAAACAATCAACAAAGCACCTAAAATGCTAGAGTGGTTAGGAGAGCAGATATATATGCACACAGCAGGAATGTAATACGCTTACTGGTACATCATGCAGGAGAATGAAACTAGCAAGTGTCCTGTTCTCTGTATGGTCAAATTCACCCCTGTGTAGTCAGCCACCACAAGGACTGTGCACCACATCAGTTCTATTTCTGCATGCTGATCTGCTGCAGGGGAGGTAGATTTTACTCTTATTGATTTGGGATCCTAAACAGTTTGTATAGAGATACACAGTTCACTTGTATGAATGACATATCAGTAAAGCCTTACCTCCACTAGAAAACATGGACCACCCTGAAAGTCAATTGCTCCCCATAGCAAGCTTATAACACCTCACATCCATACACAGAGGTGCTCCAAATGGCTTAGTATCATCAGCACAGGGCATGGCCTCTTCGCAAATTGCCACATGGATTAATCTCTGGCAAGGTGCTTAAGGTGGTGTGATTGTATATTCGGTTTATATCCACCCCTGGCAATCTTGTCACACCACCGAAGCTTTTGGCAACTTGGGATTGTCGGCCAAGTAGCAGCATTCCTTGGTACACACACTTTGAAACTGGTTGGCCATCTAGTCAAATAATATGTCCAGGCCAAGAAAGCCACTGAAACTGAACTAGCGTGGATGGAGACGACTGCTAGTTCGGCTTTTGAATATCCTCATTTCTGATCTTGTCCTGCCACTTCATATGGAGAAGTGGACGGAGACCACGAGAATGGAAAACATCATTCCAACATTCTTCAGCTTTCCTCTATGCCCACATTTCACTTCCATTCAGCGGAGTTGGTCTAACTGTGGTTCCATAGATCCGCAGCTTGACAGCAAGCTTGATGTCTTGACATTCTTCACAGAGGCTACTGAAGGGCCAACAACAGGGCAGCAACGGCTACTTCACAGGCATCCACTTCTTTTGAGCATCTTCAGACCTTGTGCTGGAGAATGGCTTAGCAGAATGCACAATGCCACTTCTTTTAGACATGCTTTCAGCCGGGTTAAAAATTGTTTTCAGTCTGAACTGTTTTGGTACCAGTATGGACACGGACTAATCCATCCACAATGCATTGTTCGCCTTTCAAAATCTCCCACCATGCATTGCTTCTGGAATTGTACCAGAAACTGCAGAATAGGTGCCCAGAGGGCACTGAAAATAAAATGGTTTAGCATAGGACTAGTGTGGACAAGGTCAAAACTGCAATTCACCATGGCTAGTGTGGCTACATTGAACTGTTTGTGATTACACCAGTACCATAATAGCAGTAAGTGGTACAAGCACAAGGAAGGCCTGTGGTTTAGTGTGTATTCCAGGGACATTGTGCTGACTCAATTATTTCAACTCCCAATGGCCAACTCAAGATTTACAGACCTGAACACTGGCTTCTAAGAGGTTTGTAATGTGCAGCTCTTTAGACAAGTAACTAATTAAAAAGCAGAAGGCACTCTAATAAACATAAGGAAACCAGGCAGCCCTCATACCAGCAAGCTTAAAATGCTAAGTAAGTGCCTGAGGGCAGCAATCCTGAGGATAATGCCTGAAAGCAGCATCCCCTGGATAATACCTCTCACTATGCTGGAGGCAAAGGAGAAGCCAAACAAATCTCAGTCACTACCAAAAAGAGTCTCTCAGGAGAAAAACCTACACAACTCATGAGCAAGAACACACAGTACTGCTAGGCACAGGGTGGGGTTTGAAATGAACACTGGGTGTTCTCTCACTTGGTCTATGAAAGTGCAGTGAACTCAGAGCAGAAGGCTGGTGACACACCTGACCTCCAGTGGGAATAAACTGAAAGCCCTCAATCTGGTAACAGTCAGCATTTTCTGCAGGTGTTCTAGAAGAAATGTACACTACCTATTTTTTGCTACAGTGTTAACCTTAACATGTGCTTTTGTAGTGTGGTCACTGTAAGGACATATTTCAGAGTAGCAGCCATGTTACTGTGTATCCGCAAAAAGGAAAGGAGGACTTATGGCACCTTAGAGACTAAAATTTATTTGAGCATAAGCTTTCGTGAGCTACATCCAATGAAGCGAGCTGTAGCTCACAAAAGCTTATGCTCAAATCAATTTGTTAGTCTCTAAGGTGCCACAAGTACTCCTTTTCTTTTTATAAGGACTTAGTTTTGCCAACCTGCAGGAAGCCAGGTACAGATTATGACTGGGTAGAACCAAGTGCTGGACAACGCATTTGCTGAGACAGAAGTCGGCCAGTTAAAGTGTTAGTACCAAAGGGAGTCTTAATTCTTGGCTTTTGGGGGAGAGAGAGAGAGAGAGAGAGACTGAATTTAAGGATGGGATCTGATCCAAGACTGAACAGAGAATGACCCTATAGACTGTACTTGGATATTTTCTTATTACAAAGTCCTTCCGTTATCCCGCATATCTTATAAAAAATATAGACAGAAGAGCTGGAAATCTGGGCACAGCTGAAGGTTTTAATGAGGAAGCTGTGTTTCAGGGATTTATTGAGAGGCAATCCACTCAATTCTTTTTGAAGCAAAAGCTGTTGGCCTGATATGGGAAAAGATCAGGAGAAAGCTTTTAGCTTTTCTATTTAAAAATAAAAGGGAAAGGAATTTAATGAAAGACTGAGACCTGTTAACCAGGAGCTGCCACTTCAGCTTATTTTTCATAACATAACCCACTAGCAAAAGGGAGAGTTGATTGCGAGGGATCCATTCTGTTACCAGCTGGAAACAGGGCATGGCAACGATAGAAGCCTCTTCCAGTGGAGAAATGCAGGGCAAACCCATCTCAGGACATTTTCCTAACATGTGGGAGCAATCAGGCAGAGTGCACAGACAAAAGAGCAGAGCAGCAGAAAAGCAAAGGAACAGACATGACCATATGCCAAAGACCAGAATGGTGTCATTCACAGGACATGGCAAGACACCTGCAGCAATACTGGCAATGAGAGCTGCAATTGCTCTTCTTTCAATGGAAAAGTTTGCTAAAATACTTCGGGATGGACAGAATTTGGGGGATCTTAGGATACCTTATTATTGCTTAAGTGTGTGCAAGGCAAAGGATGAGATGATTTCTCCTAAAAAGGGAAAGCTGAATTAAAGTATAAACAACACACATACCATTTCAGGAAGTCTTAGCAGGTGCAATCTCAGGGAGCAGCATTGTCTTAAATCCTCTGTTCATAGTTAGAGACAGAAGTGTTTGTAGTGACATATAGCACAACTATTGGCTGAGGTGCTGGAACATGATTTGCCCTTTCCTATAGTTCACTATTTTCCTGCAACTGAAGTACACTAGGAAAAGCTTTGGACCCAATCCTGCAAGCTACTCCATGCAGGCGCAGGGGTCTGCCCGTGGAGAGCAGCTTGCAAGGCTAGGGCCTATCACAACTGAATGAACGTGCAAGTTACTGGGTCAAGCTTCCGTGACCTCATGGCAGCAGCATTCTTTGAATAGTGATTAAGTCCAAGCATAAAAAAAAAGAGGGACTGAAAGAGTTAAAAACACAGAGTCTGTAAACTCTGCCAGCCAATCCACAACTGACAGATTGTGTCCAGTATCATGTTAAATGTTGAAGAGCAAGAACAATGCACAGGAGCAGCATAAACACCTAAAGAGAAAGAGTAGGATGGCAATATGTGGTGGCAATCTGATTCTGAAGTAAAATCATCTCCAGTTCTTCAAACCTGCTGGGAGAGGCCAGCCAGCTGAAGGAGAGAATTGGTCACACTGTTGAGTTACTACATTGTCCTCTGCCTTCTAATAACCTTGTATTAATTCTTGACTGGGTCTTATGTTTGGTGGTCTCATTCAAGTTCCTAATGGGTGTCTTTATGCATCATAGAGCCATCAAATCAGTAAGCACAATTGACAGGACCATAGACAGCTGGGACATGAGTGTTCCAGCTCATCATTGAGGGACATTCTCCAATCTGCATGGAGTACCTCACACAGTGCTTCCTACCAATGTACCTAGTTTGATCACCTTTATATACCCCAAAAGTTTCAAAAATGAGTTGTGTTTCTGGGGTCCTCACCTGAGGCATTTTAAAGGAGCCAGACTTTCAGAAAGTGCTGAGCACCCACCTACTAAAAACCAGACCCTTTTAGGGGGTCTCAAGTGGTCCATTCAAATATTAAGGCACCCAAAATCACTAGTCACTTTTAAAAATCTTGCCTCAAACTCCCACACAAATGTTAAAAGAAAAATTGCTATTGCTCAATTATTCATTTAAAAATGTACTGTCAATTACCACAATGTTATACATACTGTTTTTCTTGTACAGGAGAATTTCAAAGCAGTTTGACTCATAGTTGTCAAAAGTCTGTCTGACTTTTTCAATGGTCTTCTTATCCGTCAGTTCCCCATACATAAAACTGGAAAAGAAAAATCCATTTCTGCTTTTTTCCCCACAGTCAAGTAACAACTTATAAACATTAGCTATGCTTTAATAGTTATCCACTGAAATTTAACTATGATTTACATCTCATTTCAACATTTATGGTATTCCAAGATTGCCATGAAACCTACAAAACAAACAATTGTGGCTGCTTATTTATTGTAAAAAAGATTTATGTGCTGTCATTTTACATAAGTGACTTTCTAGGTATACATTCAAGGCTAGAGTGTTAAAAAAAAAAGAGCTGACAATATACACCACTGGGGCAACACATAAACATGCTACAGTGACAAAATGATAAAGTGGAGAAGAAAACTCAACAAAAGCCATGCAAATTCTCAAATCCTCTTAGAACCCCTTATACTTCTGAGGCAGAATGCAATCCACTACAGGTAAATCCTAGGGTGACCAGATAGAAAGTGTAAAAAATTGGGACGGGGGTGGAGGGTAACAGGTGCCTATATAAGAAAAAGCCCCCCAAATCGTGACTGTCCCTATAAAATCAGGCCATCTGGTCACCCTAGATAAGTCCCGATGATCCAAGCATTAGTTATGAGAATGCTGAGTTACCCAAAATTTGCTTCCATGCCCCAAATCCAAAATTCAGACAGGGACCAAAGTTCTGTTCTCTAAAATTATGCAGAGGTACTCCAAGACATTCAGGTAATCCGAGTTTACTTATAAAGGTCTGATTATGAATCAAGACAGGATTTCACCAACAAGAAATAAAGGCCGCAATTCTCTTGCAAATAGAGTCCCCAGTCCAGCACAACTTTTAAGAGTATGAATTGCCCCACTGAAGTCAAGTTTGCATTTATCCCATGTGAGTGGGAAGAAAGTCACTGGGACAACTCACACGTGTAAAGTTAGAGATGTGCCTAAGTCCCTTGCTGGATCAATTCCCCAGCTACCCAGTTCAACATTATACCTTTCAAACAGTGCATTCCCAACATCAATTATATAAGTGCCAGCACCTGTAATTCATATTGGCAGGGTGAATTTCAGTGGAAGGGCATCCCTGGTTCAAATTCTCTGTGCTGCTGTAAATATGCAAAACTCCATTAAACTCCTCTGAGGTTTACTTACATAATATTTAGCTCACTTGGCTAATTTGTGGAATAAACCAGAACTGTATGCATTGCCTTTTTATTGCACAAGTTAAGAAATCAAACTGCTAGACTATTACACAACTTTTTGAAGTATGCAAATACATTTATTTATTTCATGTTATTCCATTAATTTTTGTATCACACAGTTTGGAAAAAGTACTAAAATGCATCTGTACATTCCTCCTCCTCCCCTCCACTAAGCAGGTATCAATGCAAACTTAAGGAAGGTGTGGGTCTGCTGCTCAATGGAGAAGATGAGCTGGGAAGGGAAGATGATAGGAAGGCAGAGCTGCTCAATATCTACTTTGCTTCAGACTTCTCACAAAAAAATAACGTGCCCAGATGACTAGCGAAGTTATCATAGACAATACAGGGGAAGGGATGTAGACTGGGATAAGTAAAGAACACATCAGACCGTCTGACCAATTTGAATGAATTCAAATCAGCAGGGCCAGATGCTCTGCACACAAGGGTACTGAAAGAATTAGCTGAAGAAATTTTGGAGCCACTGACAATAATATCTACAAACTCCTGGATGACAGGAGAGGTCCCGGAAGTCTGGAGAAGGGCTAACATAGTGCCCATCTTGAAAAAGGGGGGAAAGGAGGAGCCGGGGAACTATAGAGCAGTCAACTTGAGCTTGATATCTGGGAAACTACTAGAGCAATGTATAACCATTCAATTAGCGAATAGCTGGAGGATGAAGGGGTGATCATAGCAGCCAGCATGGATTTACCAAGAACAAATCATGCCAAACCAGCTTGATTTCCTTCTTTGACAGGGTAACTGGTTTGGTGGATAGAGGGAATATGATAGACATAATATACCTGGACTTCAGCCAGGCTTTTGACACAGTCCCACATGACATTCTGATAAGTAAGCTGGACAAATGTGGACAGAACTACCATTAAGTGGATACATAATTGGGGGGTTCCACAGGGATCTGTTCTGGGTCTGGTGTTGTTTAACACCTTTATTAATGACCTGGATGGAGGTATGGAGAGCAGGCTGATCAAGTTTGCAGATGACACAAAGCTAGTAGGGGTTGCCAATACTTTGGAGGATAGAGCTAACATTCAGAGGGATCTTGAGAAATAGACGAACCGGGCTAGAGACCACAAAATGACATTCAGCAAACAAATGCAAGTTGCTACACTTAGGGAAAACAAACTAAATGCCCAAATACAGAATGGGGGATAACGGGCTTGGCAACAGCACTGCTGAGAGGGATCTGGGTGTTGTGGTGGAGCACAACCTCAACATGAGTCAGCAATGCAATGCTGTTGGGGGGGGGGAGCATGAATGCAATTTTAGGTTGCATTAACAGAGGCATAGCAGGCAAGTCATGGGAAGTGATAGTACCATTCTATTCAGCGCTGGTTAGGCCTCAGCTGGAGGACTGCATCCAATTTTGGTCACTGCTGTATAGAAAGGATGTAGAGAAACTGGAAAGGATCCAGATGCGAGAGACAATGATCAAAGGGATGGAATGCAAGGCATGTGAGCAAAGGCTGAGGGAACTGGGTATGTTTAGTTTGGAAAAGAGGAGATTAAGGGGGGGGACATGATAGTGGTCTTCAGATACTTGAAAGGCTGCCATAAAAAAAGATGGGAGAAAAGTTGTCCTCTCATTTGTCCTGCCCTCTGAGAGAAGGGTTCAAACTACAGCATAGCAGATTTAGATTAAATCTCAGGAAAAAGTTCCTAACTGTAAGAACAGTAGAACAATGGAACAGATTGCCTATGCGTCTTCACTGGAGGTTTTCAAAAAGAGGCTGGTATGAATGGGCACAGCTCCATTGACTTTACTTCGAAGGGTATGTCCACGCTGCAGCTGGGAGCAGGGCCACCTGGGGGAAAGGAGGGCGCAAGAAACACTGATGCGTGGGATTGCAGCACCATTCAGGTTTGGCCCAGCCACCCCTCCGCAATGGAGGGACCACCAGTCCAAACTGAGTGGTGCTGCAAGCCCGTGAGCCAGGTCACAACACCTGGAGCAGGGAGCCGGGCCCAGCCCCGTAGGACAGGAGCCAGCACTATGGAGTTGCAGGGGAGGCTCCTCTCCATATGTAATACCCATAGCACATAAACATGCACAAAAACACTGCTAGGCAACAAAGCTTTTGGCACCTTCACTATCTGAAGTATAATTGAGGGGGTATTTTTAATAGGAGAACTCATAAGTCCTCATTTTTCAGAGGTGTTTAACCAAAATTTTCCTGTATTTCTGTTCTGTATTTTGTCATAAATATAAAGGGAAGGGTAAACCCCTTTAAAATCCCTCCTGGCCAGAGGAAAAATCCTCTCACCTGTAAAGGGTTAAGAAGCTAAAGGTAACCTCGCTGGCACCTGACCAAAATGACCAATGAGGAGACAAGATACTTTCAAAAGCTGGGAGGAGGGAGAGAAACAACGGGTCTGTGTCTGTCTGTATGCTGCTTTTGCCGGGGATAGAACAAGAATGGAGTCTTAGAACCTTTAGTAAGTAATCTAGCTAGGTATGTGTTAGATTATGATTTCTTTAAATGGCTGAGAAAAGAACTGTGCTGAATACAATGACTATTTCTGTCTGTGTGTCTTTTTTGTAACTTAAGGTTTTGCCTAGAGGTCTCTATGGCAAAGGTTTTGCCTAGAAGTCTCTATGTTTTGAATCTAATTACCCTGTAAGGTATCTACCATCCTGATTTTACAGAGGGGATTTCTTTACTTCTATTTCTATTAAAAGTCTTCTTGTAAGAAAACTGAATGCTTTTTCATTGTTCTCAGATCCAAGGGTTTGGGTCTGTGGTCACCTATGCAAACTGGTGAGGATTTTTACCAAACCTTTCCCAGGAAGTGGGGTGCAAGGGTTGGGAGGATTTTGGGGGGAAAGACGTGTCCAAACTACATTTCCCAGTAAACCCAGTTAGAGTTTGGTGGTGGCAGTGGATATTCCAAGGACAAAGGATAAAATTAATTTGTACCTTGGGGAAGTTTTAACCTAAGCTGGTAAAAGTAAGCATAGGAGGTTTTCATGCAGGTCCCCACATCTGTACCCTAGAGTTCAGAGTGGGGGAGGAACCTTGACATACTTGTTATTGTTTTAATTCAGAGCCGTGCTAAAGAGGCTCGGCTGGCAGCAAGTAGCTGCTATTGATGTGTTTTGGTACAAAGAAACTGTAGATGCGATCACGGGAGTGCAACAGGGCAATTCTATCAGTGCATCTGGGATGGCTGTGATGAGGTTGTCTCCATCAGCCCCCATGAGTTTGTAAACTTGGTTGCTATTGCCTGTGTTCAATATTGTACAGTGACATCGCAATCTTGTTCCTATACCATTGTCTGCTATAGGAAGCCTGCATACTTTCAGGAATCTTGGATTCCAAAGGTTTCCCCTCCTCCTCCTCCATAGAGAAAAGCAGAGCAGGCTATGTTTTCATAGAATCACAGAATATCAGGGTTGGAAGGGACCTCAGGAGGTCATCTAGTCCCACCCCCCGCTCAAAGCAGGACCGATCCCCAACTAAATCATCCCAGCCAGGGCTTTGTCAAGCCTGACCTTAAAAACTTCTAAGGAAGGAGATTCCACCACCAAAGCCCTGGCTGGGATGATTTAGTTGGGGATCGGTCCTGCTTTGAGCAGGGGGTTGGACTTGATGACCTCCTGAGGTCCCTTCCAACCGTGATATTCTATGATTCTATGATCTCCCTAGGTAACACATTCTAGTGCTTCACCACCCTGCTAGTGAAAAAGTTTTTCCTAATATCCAACCTAAACCTCCCCCACTGCAACTTGAGACCATTACTCCTTGTTCTGTCATCAGCTACCCCTGAGAACAGTCTAGATCCATCCTCTTTGGAACCCCCTTTCAGGTAGTTGAAAGCAGCTATCAAATCCCCCCTCATTCTTCTCTTCTGCAGACTAAACAATCCGAGTTCCCTCAGCCTCTCCTCATAAGTCATTATGTTTTCCCATTAGCAATGTGCTTGTTGCCTCTTGGTGAAAATGGAATGGTAGTTAACATGCTGCATATATAGAGTCAGATTTGCTCCCTGCGTTGCTTCAGTTACCAGCAGTGTAACCAGGTGTGGGCCCTGGGTAGCAGCCGCTCTGCCAGGATTCTTGATGCATATTCTCTATGAACCTTGGAGTTGGTTAACCCAGGCCAAAGAAAGCATCTCCCAGGGATTCAGTGATCTCCCAGAACATCTCCCAGGCACTCAGTTGAGGAGGCTAGGATGGATGCCCAGCCATAAATTAAAATTGTCCTCTCCTGACAGACCACCAGACAAGGGGTGACAGTACATCCACCTGCTCTGAGGGATAGCTGCCCCGATGGTGACAGAGAGTGCAGTTTCCACCTCAGTGTGCTCATGGGGGTAGGCCTCTTGCGAGTCAATTAGAGTGCAACTAGTAAAAAATCTTCCACTTGTGTGGACTGAAACCAAATTTTTAAATATCCTACCATGTCTGCACCTCTCTTTCAAATTCATTACAGTGCCCAATTGTAACCTCGCTAATACTGGTGTAAATCAGGTGCAATCCAAGGCAAAGGAGAACCTAGCCCAGAGTTTCTAAAATTTTCCTTTTCCACTGAAGATTTTTCTTCATTCCTGCGCTGCTCAGAATGTTTATAACATCAACAGCCATTACAAGGCAAGTCACAAATCCCACAACTCAGGACCTGGCAGCTAATTAAAGGAAGAACTAGCTTGTTTTCAGAATATGGATGGTAGAAAATATATTCATTGGTAAATTTTATAAACTAAAAACAAATCTATATTATCATCAGAATCATTTCATTTATGGCTCAATCCTACAACATGCTGAGCAGTCTGGCCCTGATACAGCAAAAGCACCTAAGCGTGTACTAAACTTAAAGCACTGGATTAGTTCCATTGACTTCAGTGGATCTATTGACTTCAGTGGAACTACTCATGCATACAGTTAACCACATGTTTAAGTGCTTTGCTGGATCAGAGACAAGGTGCTCAGCACTGTGTAGGATCCAACCTTTAGCGTTATAAATTCTATTGACTGCATTGGTACCTTAAATAGTTTGTTTGTAAAATTACAAACTTTTAACAGATCATTTTTAAATTAAGGCTTTCAAGATCATTTAAACATTTTAGCAGAGTCCTAATTTTCACTCAACATAAATAATTTGTAAATATACAGAGGTTACATACCTGCAAGTGCTACTCTTCTGCATGACGTCAGCTCGATGATATCCAGAGAGTTTACAAAAACCGTCATTACTATAAACTACAGGCCAGTCCACAATCTGGGCATTTCCCAGTAAAAAACTTGATTCTAAAAAGAAAAAAAAGAGAGGAAGATTTGTAGTTAACCACCATGTAAGTTTAAATAATCCTTGTGTTATAAACCAATTGCAGACAGTTATTCATATTGATAATATCAATCGGATAGGAGTTTAACAGATAACCAATTAAAGAATCTAAAGAAAGGATATGGCATGATAAAATGAAAAGTTACATTTGATTGGACAGGATTTGTTTCTAATATGGTTTGAAGCTTCTTTCACCTAAAAGTACGAAAACAAGTACAGCTCTTAGAATTTACTGTATGAATTGTTTAAGAATCACCTATTATCAACATCTGATCAGGATACTGTGCCTTGATATCAACCCTAAACTACATTATAAATTGTTTATTTATGTGTTAAATGGTCAGTGTGCCTAGCACTGATGACAGGCATGTTACATAATAAGACAAATAAAATACTGGACTTTTCACAGTTCCCAAAGTCTTTCACACAACTATTCAGAGGCAGCCACCTCTGGGGTGGAGGATGGCCACCAACACACAGAGAGAAATTTGCACAGCTATGCACGGTGCTATATGTGCTTACATGAGAGGAAAGTGATCAGGAACAGTCAGCATGGATTCACCAAGGGAAGGTCATGCCACACTAATCTAATCGCCTTCTATGATGAGATTACTGGTTCTGTGGATGAAGGGAAAGCAGTGGATGTATTGTTTCTTGACTTTAGCAAAGCTTTTGACATGGTCTCCCACAGTATTCTTGTCAGCAAGTTAAAGAACTATGGGCTGGATGAATGCACTACAAGGTGGGTAGAAAGTTGGCTAGATTGTTGGGCTCAACGGGTAGTGATCAATGGCTCCATGTCTAGTTGGCAGCCGGTGTCAAGTGGAGTGCCCCAGGGGTCGGTCCTGGGGCCGGTTTTGTTCAATATCTTCATAAATGATCTGGAGGATGGTGTGGATTGCACTCTCAGCAAATTTGCGGATGATACTAAACTGGGAGGAGTGGTAGATACGCTGGAGGGGAGGGATAGGAAACAGAAGGACCTAGACAAATTGGAGGATTGGGCCAAAAGAAATCTGATGAGGTTCAATAAGGATAAGTGCAGGGTCCTGCACTTAGGACGGAAGAACCCAATGCACAGCTACATTCTAGGGACCGAATGGCTAGGCAGCAGTTCTGCGGAAAAGGACCTAGGGGTGACAGTGGACGAGAAGCTGGATATGAGTCAGCAGTGTGCCCTTGTTGCCAAGAAGGCCAATGGCATTTTGGGATGTATAAGTAGGGGCATAGCGAGCAGATCGAGGGACGTGATCGTCCCCCTCTATTCGACATTAGTGAGGCCTCATCTGGAGTTCTGTGTCCAGTTTTGGGCCCCACACTACAAGAAGGATGTGGATAAATTGGAGAGAGTCCAGAGAAGGGCAACAAAAATGATTAGGGGTCTGGAACACATGACTTATGAGGAAAGGCTGAGGGAACTGGGATTGTTTAGTCTGCAGAAGAGAAGAATGAGGGGGGATTTGATAGCTGCTTTCAACTACCTGAGAGGTGGTTCCAGAGAGGATGGTTCTAGACTATTCTCAGTGGTAGAAGAGGACAGGACAAGGAGTAATGGTCTCAAGTTGCAGTGGGGGAAGTTTAGGTTGGATACTAGAAAAAACTTTTTCACTAGGAGGGTGGTGAAACACTGGAATGCGTTACCTAGGGAGGTGGTAGAATCTCCTTCCTTAGAAGTTTTTAAGGTCAGGCTTGACAAAGCCCTGGCTGGGATGATTTAATTGGGGATTGGTCCTGCTTTGAGCAGGGGGTTGGACTAGATGACCTCCTGAGGTCCCTTCCAACCCTGATATTCTATGATATCACGCCTATAATTAATGGCAGATAATAGAGAAGATGAATGGAACTCTAATATAGTGATGGGAAGCAAGAAAAGTAAAAAGTTCAAGGCTGAGATGAGAAAAGAAAACAGCATTGTAGATATAGACTGGAAATGTCTATTTTACGACATAACAGGAGGTGCTGGCTCTCGTTAATTCTATCAGCCTATATCAGTTCCTGTAAATATGCTAATATTTGCCAGGAGTACTTTCAGGAGGCTGACCGCATGTTTAAATATCGCTTCAATCACCTGTTCTTTTAGTCAGCGCCTACAGCTCATACAGATGGATTGGCACAAACATATTAGGAGCTAGTCCTAAAATAACCAGTTTGGAACGTTGTTCCTCCAAAGCTCCTTCTAGCAAGGTGTTTCTGAAGCAGGAAGTATCCATTTTCTTCAGCTGTACTGAGTGTTATATGCTCATCAGCAATGCAAACATTTCTAATATTGTTCCTGTAACAATGTTCTCCCTATAGCCTAAAACAGAGGTGCTCCATTTATGATCCAGGGTCATCTTTGAGCATTGTGTAAATGTGTTTTTACTGTAGCTATGGAGCTATCCAGTAACTTTCACCACTGGAGTGGTGCAAAAAAGCTAATGAAATGTAGCCATTAAAAGTCTCTAATGTACAAACTCAGTGATGATACAGGTATCTTCCTCTCAGCACAAATATTGTCCAAAAAAGGTCTAGAGGAGAATTTTTAGCAGCTATCATTATAATAGTGAAAGGATAATTATGCCTACTGCTTTTGTTTATTTGATCTATTTACCTTACTTTCATATCCGAGCGATAATTTGTATTTTTATAGGTTCTACACTGAACTCTTTCCTATGGTTTAGAGGCTTGAATGTAGAGTATATAATTCAAATACTATTCTATTGAACATGGAAGTATATGGCAAAATTTTTGAGTTTCTACATACATCTCTCTCACATACTTTACAAACTTGAATTTAGGGGGAAAAAAACATCTGAAGATAAATATTTTCCCTTGTGAAAATCTAATAAAGACAGAATGATGTAAGGGTAGAGGTTTGGATTTCGTGAACTTCAACCTTTTTAGAGTCGTATAATTAGTCTGAGTTCACCCACAGATCTTTTTTATCCCAAGAGGGAGTCAATATTTTTTAAGCTTGTTTTTCTACCTAAAAGGAAGCAAGGGACCCAGGTCCATGACTGGAGCTTCTACGTATACCACAATACAAATAAATAAATACATAATATCAGATGACAATGGAAGCTTTGCCATTGACTTCAAGAGAGCTAAGATTTCACCCACTGTACTGATACTCTAAGTATTTTTTTCCTCTTCCCTCTTCTTTCTACACAGTGTATCCCTGTTTGTTACCCTCTCTACACCATTTCCCCACTACTTTCTAATTGGACTTTCTTCTCTGAGAGAGAGTGTGTGTCTAAGCAGAACACTAGTCCAGTAATGTCTGGATGCGAGTTCAACTTTTGAACCCAGGACATTTAGGTGGGTGTAACAAGTGTGTGCATCAGTAATTGCTGAGGCTGTAAAAAAGGGATTAAAGAACTGCATGGGAAGCACAAAAAAACAACATCCCAGGACCGTGATGAGTGACTGTAAAAGAGATGTTCACACTTTGGAGACGTGACCAGAGTTCTTTTCCGCACCACTGTTTTATTTTGGCAGCCCTACTGCAGCGCTAATGGAACCTTATCCATTAGTAACACCCCCCGTTGTTTCCAATTCTGAACACGACTGTTCCCATACGACAGTTTTTAATTTTATCCAGTGCATCTGCATATCAGCCAACCCCCTCTCCCCGATTAGAACTACTGAATAGTCTTTACAACATTCACCCCAATTAACTCCTCTCAAGTGGGCTGGAAGATGTGCACAGTTCAGAGTTGGTGCAGGACTTTAACGTTCCCATTAGAGGAAAATCCTACTTGGGAGAGACTGTGTGAATCTACAAGTATTACATGAGTGTTGAATCAAAAACAGGATTGATTTTGCACACACTCAGTATACTCATTTTCTATAACTATCTTCCCTCAGATGTTCTAGACACTTAGAAGTAAGAAACACCTTATATGAAAACAGGAGAGTCCTCCATTCACCAGAAGTGAACTGACTGGCTGACATTTCTATTGTATACATCTTTCAGTAGAATCAGATATCCAAACACAAAATCATTCAGGGATATCATGTGGATATGTGACACACCCCGGAGGACCTGAGATTCATAAACCAATAAAAAGATTACATAGATATGTAGTCTTATCATTTGTGACAGAGATAATCTTGATCCTATATTCCTGTTATGTAACTGTTTCAGAACACAATGTACACAGCGTAAGAGGCACGTCACAGCCAAGAGCAGACATATGGCATGCCTGATATTATATTTTTGCACTTTTATAGCAGCTTACATATCAGGATTGCATAGTGCTCAAAAAGCATTAATTAACAAAGCCTGACCAAACCCATGGGAGATAGGAAAGCAGCACTGACTTTGGGTTATTGTTTTGTTTTTGCTTTATTGATTTTTCATGAAAAACACAAAAATTAAACAAAAAATGCAAATATTTAGCAAGAGGCTAAATTTAGTACAATGATCATTGTAACAAGCATCAGGCCAAAGACAAACAAATATACAAGTCTCTTGCTTTGTGTATTTAGCTTCTTCTCTTTAAAACTTTGACAAAGGAAAGAGCCCATAGATATACCAGGGGATCAGTGTATAAAAGTTTATAAATGCAATCTGAAAAATGCTGATTTAGTAATGACATCCTGAGTCTTCTTATATCATAACCACATTAATGCATGTGTATAACACCAACCTGTCTTTTCCCCCCATTTGATTGCTGATAGAGTTGTTTTCTCCATCAAAGCTGTGTTTGACAATTTTTACATTATCACTGCAATTTTGCCAGAATAAAACTCTAAACAGTTTTTTGCTAAACACCAGAGCTTCTACACATAAAGCAGGGTTAGCTGCCCCTAGCCAGTGCTGGAAACAATGCCAATCATCGACTAACCTGTCCCATATAATTTTTTTCTTCACACACATTCTAAAAATACCATAGGGGCCTGTGCAAAGGTCTTTCAACAGTTCTGAATACAAAGATGGGACCCGCTCCAAGCATCTGTAAATTAAATGAATCTTCCTGCA